AACAAGGAAATCTAGGTTCCAATCCCTACCTTCAATCTCCAAGATTCTTCGGGTTTTGCCTCATTTTAAAGCATCTTGCATATCCCTGTATGCCACCCAAATTTCTCAGTTCACTACACCTGCTTCCTTCATACGGATTTACACCCAGGTACGCATTTATCTGAAGGAAAATTGGGAAAAGAGGTTACAACCTCTCCATGAATGCGGCCTGGTTCGCTTCTGGAAATCTCAGCGATACAGCTGCCTCATCTCATCGGCAGGTGAGGGCTGCCTCCACCTTTTTTACACCTCACTCCGATACATACACAAATATTTAGAGCCCATCTGACATTTTGTATCTCAATGCTCCGTCTGTAAAACGTTGGTAACAAAAATTCCCCAGCTACGGCATAGAAATATGAGGATAAAATAAAAGACCCTTTCAGAGTCTGAAATCATTTAAGATTTTCAATACTGATCTTGAAATAAAACAACATATTTGAAGTACACATCTGTTAAAACTCCAATGAAATTACAAGAGAAATTAATAGGATTCCTTGTCCTTTATCTCTTTGAAAATGTAAATTGCTATTTATATGATAATCGTGATAGGATACTTTTAGACAAAGTTACAAATATTTTTTAAAATGTAAAGGAGAGGGAAAAGATGAAAAGGACACACTGAGAGCTGAACTCATCCCAACAAGCAAAATAGCACAAATGAGGCCCAACTGGGCATCATCTATGGTCTTACTGCAAAGACTGGAGAGCTTTATCAAATGCAAAATATAATTGTGAAAGCTTTTGCCAAAAGACATATAAGTGACATCCCTGCCACAGTCAGGTAAGACAGTTTCTATCTGTCACCAAATCACCAAAGTAATGCTCAAAGCTTAAACAGGAACATTCTTATAAAACACATGTTGAACTGATTTCACATTTTTCAATAAAATTATATATTGGTTTGAGTCTAAATGTAACTGACTTAACCCATTCTTAACCCGCTGACAAGTATGAAAACTTTTTTTGCTGAGAACTTCCCTCTTCCAAAAATCTGTGTGTGAGCTGAGCTGTTTCCCCTTATGCCGCACTTCACGCCTAAGAGGAATTGCTGTGAACATGCAAGATGTGTCTTCGTACCCTTCTCCATACCAGTTCTTAAAACTCCCTTTCCAATAAGGTGTATGAAAACACAGTAATAAACCTATTGAGCCTACAACAGCCTTGCTTGTTTCCAGGGATGCCCCATCCATATCGCCGCATCCATCATTCATCCCTGGGTCCACACTTCCGATCACAAGCTTTTTGAGAGACTACTTGTTCAATGTTTGTGCACTCTGCACCGCAGTAAGTTCTGAGAGGCTATTCCAATGCAGAGAAGTTGCAATAATGAGGATTTTCACCCTTCCACTCATTTAAAAATACAGCAGCAAAATGCTTAATGGAGCTTCTCAATAGCTGATGGTACCTTCAAGCAGAAGTTGAGCACCATAAAGAACTACACTGGGGCCAAAGTGTGGAAACACACACACAAACACAGGCATTTCATGTCACATGATATAATTCTTTAGCTGTTATCTACACAGAGATTTAAAAAAAAAAAAAATCTGTCCAAAGGATGGTACAGAACATTATAGAAGACTGGAGAAGATTTCCACCCTGCCTGTGGTCATTGCTCTCTGCTCTCACTTTTGTCCTTCAAACTGTTCTGTCCAGCCATGCTGGCAGAAAGCTGAGTCGGGCAGCTCTGGGGAGGGAAACTGGAAAAATCGCCCCTGCTGAAAAAAAGCTGAACACTCCAAACGCCTCCCTGTGTTCTGTACATTTGCCAGAAATGTCAGGGATCAGAGTTTGACACTGCTTAGCCTTTGCCATCAACACCACTTGGAAATTCATACAGAAATCTTTTCCAAAATAACTACCAGAGTTATTGAAAACAGCATGTTTTAAGGGGTTCTTAACAAAGAACACCCTAAGTCATCTACAGCCTTAAGCTTTTGTTGCTTTTAAACAGGCTTCTCATGAAAAACATTATTCTTTCGGGAGCAATGGCATCACCTCTTTATTTCAAAACCTCAGAGATCACAAAGGAAAACTCTTCATTTTCCATGGTGCTGTCTTGACAGACATCAGCATTTATCAGCTATTACATCAGCAGATTTCAAAAAACAGATGGACATTAACAAAAAGCACTATTTGTTGGGGTTTTTTTGTAAAGGGGGTTGGTACTGCCAGACCATTCTCCAGTGGCAGACTGTGATTTGGGCGGTCTTGCAAGAAGAACCACCCCTTTGGCTTTTAGCAAAGCTGGAGCTGAGCAAATGGAGTTATGGACTCACTGGTCCAGCTGGTCGGTAGAGCGAGATGCAGCAGGAGTGGTTGGAATCGGGTAGAGCTGTCGAAAAGCAGCTCCCTGGTCGCACGCATGCACCCCATCCATGCCTCTAGTGAGGGGGAAGGTAGAAAGCATCTGACAAACCAGTATGCTCTGACTTCAGGAGCCAAGGGGCCAGTTTGGGATGCTCTGCTGGTTGTGCCTACCTTGCTTTTCAGCAGCACCAAACCCAAGTTTCTATGCCAGACCCAAGCAGCCACCAGGAGCCTGCTGAATGCCTTTGGGCTGCACTCGCCTCCCCATATCTACAGGCTAAAAAATAATAGTTGCCGAACAGAAGCACCCTGAAGGGTGGGTCTGAACATTAAGTCTTTCAGTTGGCCTTTTTATTCCTCCCACTCACAGAACAAAGAGGGATTGGGGAGGGCAGAAATGCAGCTCATAAGTATGTCTTGAGTCATGACGCTGTTTCTTCGCTTGCATTTGAACCTGTTGTAAACTTGCAGGCTTTTATACTTAATGAGGCACAGCTACATTGCTAGATCCAAACCATTTACGTGACACCAATATCACTAAACTCATCAGCAGGGGAGAAAAAAGCATCAACATGAGTTACACATAGATGCGAAGCTTTTCTGCAGAAGTTATCCGGTCAGGAACAATGTGATATGGTCCAGAGCATTGTATTAGGTGATTTCCTACCCAAACCTTGCGTAGTTATTTTTATATCACTTTCCTGTGAGCTTCTCAAAGCTAAAGGTTATTCTTCATTTAATGTCGTGGTGAAATTAAAGATTACCAGTATCAGCTTCCTTCTAATTTAACAAGCCTGGATCACTGATTAAGTAATGTCGCTTCTATTTCTGAGAGTGATGGGTGATGGTGGTTATTGAATGCAGCAAAAATGTACTCCTGACAGCTCATGAGCTCACACTGCCTATCAATATTATCAAATACTTTTAGCAGTCATGACAGCAATTTGCTCACTTTTACATAGATCACTCTTAGGCTTAAAATGTGTTCTCAAATAAAACAGAGGTAATAATTTGTATGGACTGAAACTAACACCCAAGGAGGGCACCATAATAGCTTGTGTGGATGGATGCAGTATTTTATAGGGAGTTTAGGCAGTATGAGCCAAGTGACTAACGGGGCTGGACATGGGAACCTTGGTGGGGCAGTAGCAACACACCTTTAGAATCACAGAATGGTTAGAGTTAGAAGGGACCTTAAAGATCATCTAGTTCCAACCCTCCTGCCGTGGGCAGGGACACCTCCCACTAGACCAGGTTGTTCAAGACCATCCAGCCTGGCCTTGGAACACTTCCAGGGATGGGGCATCCACAACTTCTCTGGACAAACTGTGCCAGTGTCTCACCATCCCCACAGTAAAGAATTTCTTCCTAATATCTAATTTCAATCTACCCTCTTTCATTTTAAAACTGTTACCCCTCATCCTATCGCTACACTCCCTGATAGAGTCCCTCCCCACCTTTCCTGTAGGTCCCCTTTAGGTACTGGAGGGCTGCAATAAGGTCTCCCCGGAGCCTTCTCTTCTCCAGGCTGAACAACCCCAACTCTCTCAGCCTCTCCTCATAGGAGAGATGTTCCAGCCTTCTGACCAGCTTTGCGGCCCTCCTCTGGACTACGAAGGCGATCGGAGCGCTGGAGCACCTTTCTTACCCCCTTCTTTTCCACATACTCCCTACGGCTGCGATGAGGGCAGCAGATACGACCCAGTACGGCCCAGTGCACCATCGCCTCCACTTTTTT